CCTAGCCTCTTTACATTACTGTAACATGCGATTATATTGGTTTCTAATGACGCTTTCTTGCTGAAATCTGCTACAAGATTCGTGTTTGGTCAAATTAAAGCATGTGACCTAAGGCAGCCAATCAAATTACAGCAATGGTAATTCGTGTATGATGAATTTCAGATTTTGACAAAAGGTTTTTGTTAAATAGTGTTATTCTGACTGTACCAGTACCTCTACAGCATTTGCATTAAACCCAGTATATATACTAGTACCTCTTCAGCATTTGCATTAAACCCAATGTATATACTGGTAGTACCTCTTCAGCATTTGCATTAAACCCAGTGTATATACTGGTACCTCTTCAGCATTTGCATTAAACCCAGTGTATATACTAGTACCTCTTCAGCATTTACATTAAACCCAGTGTATATACTGGTACCTCTTCAGCATTTGCATTAAACCCAGTGTATATACTGGTACCTCTTCAGCATTTACATTAAACCCAGTGTATATACTGGTACCTCTTCAGCATTCATTTCAAAATATTGAAAGAGTACATCTACAACTGTCAGAAACATGATATTTGTTTGTTTGTTGTTTAACGCTGCACTCAGCAATATTCCAGCTATACAGCGGTCTGTAAATATTCGAGTCTGGACCTGACACTCCAGTGATTGACATCATGAACATCGATCCACGCAATTGAGATAAGATGACATGCATCAACCAAGTCAGCAAGCCTGACCACCCGATCCCGTTAGTTGCCTCCTACAACAAGTATAGTCACCTTTGACGGTGAGAATGGGTTGCTGAAGACCTATTCTACCCCTGATCTTCACGGGTCTCAGAAAAATAATGAGTATAATCATGATGATGTTACTTTTGGAAGGCAAGAGATAAGCCTAGGGTAGCCTACACCAGCAACTGGATGGGTAACAGGTGTTACTGTTACCTCAAGTCAAAGAGTAGTCATTTTTTTGCAGTTTGTTAGTTCATCAGAAATTACTTAGCCTTGATTGGGAGGAAGTAGATGTTCATGCATAGCTGAGTGAGTCAGGGGTTACAGATCACAAAGTGATGTGCTTAGTAAAATCCACAAGAATAGACCCAGGCTATACATGTTCCATAGTAATCATAGTATGTTGCATTACCAGTAGTTGGTGAGATAAACATTTAACCCCCTGGATGCCACAGGGACATATAATATATGTCCCTCCTCTACAACCCTCACTTTGAAGTCGAATAAAATTCAAAATACATCTCGCACACAGATACACTTTACAGTTTTGAATAATTTTCGGAAATTTCCTGTTCTGTAATATCATCCACTGGCATTTTAGGCCAAGCAAAAGTACTGAAAATGACCTCTGAAAATTAGGTTCATTGTAAATGTCGCCATTTTTTACTCATTACTAAATCACCACTAGCTGCGTTATTTACAGCATGTTTTGAAATCTAAATTTTGGATATTTACTCTGAGAAATGAATTTCAAAAATAGCATATTGCTGATCACGGGTATCCGTCTATAAACAAACCACCAATGATCATTCCAAAACGTCTCCGATAACCTAAGAATCGTTTCGAATGTTTTGGAAAATACGCAAACACGAACGCCCTAAGTGAACTTTACGCCATATTGGATAGTGTTTACAAAATCAGGTACACCGGCAATCTCATTAAAATCAGATCTTAAATCTCAGTACCACTAAACAAAGATCTGAAGATATCCCATTAGGGTCACGTCAGAACGACCTTTCATCCGACCAATCAGTGCATCGCTTACCAGATAATGAAAGTGACAGTCGGAATGTGATTTCTAATCATGCTATCTCGAAAACTTTAACATGGGGTATTCCGAACAATAGTTACGGGTTTGACAACTGAATCCTTTCAATCAAGACCATCTATTAGCCATTCCAGAATATTTTTTTGTTCAGGTTTCAAATTTGTAATCGAGAATTTGTCAAAATATGTTTCGAAGTGTAGTCGCCAGTTTGAAATTTGTGCCGTAAAGCACAAGAAAGCTGCCTTCTGATTGGTCATTCCATTGGTCGGTCAAAGTTCGCGCAAGGTCAGTCTGACGTGACCCGTAATGGGATGTCCTCGGATCTTTGTTTAGCGGTAGCGAGAACTAAGATCTGATTTTAATGAGATTGGGTACACCAGTTATGAGACGCCTGTAACATCACATATATTTCAAACTTAGCTGCAATACATACATCCTTGAATTCCTCATACATTTAAGAATGAAATGACCAATGGTCTTTGTCACCAATACAAAATGGCTAGATGAAATCAAGCAAAATAAGTTAGGTGTGAAAACGAACGCTGTGCTCGAAAAACTGCACTTGTTTGAAATGTAAACAAATCAAAATTCAGATTTTACACAGTGATCGTTTTTTGCCCTATTTTGAGCTATCCATTCGTCTATTGTTCAAGATATTGCCCCAACATTTTCGGAATATGCAGGGTTAGAGAATCGTAGGAAGAATTAGGGAATTTAAAATAGAAACATTACAATGATTTGATATTTTCAACAGAAATTTTCAAAGTTACCGTCCTGTGTGGTGCCATGACTGACGCAAAATCACGCACAACAACAATGGTATTTATTAGAATTTCTGACTATTTCCGTTGGTTTCAATGAAAAGTATAACAACAAATAACAGTACATAGATTGTCAGAATGTTTCTGATTACTTACATGTCACATTTATGTATATACGATCCCTGAATGGACGAAAGTCCCAACGTAAAATCCTGCGTACTGTTGACAGTGAACACGCCATTTTGTAAAAGTTGGTCACCGGTAGTGATGTCACTCGTCAATATTGTTGTATATATTTGGTAATTTCTTTGAGGTGAAGGTCCTTGAATGAGAGTGCACACGATCATTGCATCATGCTGTTTACAGTTTCAGTTATGATGTAGATTTTGCATATCTTTTTACATTTTTTCACACAATTAATTTCACTTTGGATATTTGTCAATGTTCAAAATGATATCATTTTATAGGCCACAACAAGACAATATAGGCCACAACATATGTATGAACGAACCTTTGATCATCTCCTGTTTGTTTGAACATTGTTTAGTGTCGAATATGATATTTCTTTCCTTTGGACAAGTGTTACAACATGAAGTGTAGATGTAACTGCAGCATGTACGTATTTCTTGGGATGTGTAATCATCAATATTATAAGTTCATATAACCAATGTCCTTGAATAGCCATTTCATTTTATTTTATAACTAAAACTGAATATATTACTTTAACAAAATGGATAATATTTTTCGTTAAAATATATGCACACATTTCTGAAAGAATTGTCTTGGTCTTGGAATTGTTTTTTATGTCGTTTGTTACACAGAACAGTGATATCTAACAATTTGCCAGGTGTGTGTTAGTCACAAACAATTTACAAATTATTCCTCTCGTTTTGCTTTATATAATCAATGGGTTCATTCTTTTTTCAATATTGTGATCACAGGATATTAAACTGTTTACTTTATTTCTCCAGGAATGTGTATAAAAGTATACAAAAGTATAAAACAAAACCCATGCCAGGTACCCCGTTGGTTCAACCTTAAACAATTATCCTGATAATTCTTTACCAATAGAGGTTTCTTTGCATTGTTTATTGTGTAATTCTGAGACGAGATGAAGAGAAATAATAAACATGATAATGGACAAATATATGTCCAACACTGAATTTAAATTTGGTTGTTTTGAAATATTCTTTTGGGTATATCATTATGTAAATTGATGCCAAACAGGTTCATGTCTTGTCCAATTAAGATACACAATAAACTATCTAATTGTTTACATATTCAAGACATTATTTACTTGGTGAAAGCAGTCTCTTTATGTTGTGTCAAAAAAGCGTCAAATTCGTTTTACACATCGAGATTTTCCATACCATGAACGAAAAATTAGGCGAGATATATATTAATAAAAATACCAGTGTCGTCTTTCTCCGACGTTATCAAAGACATAAAACCAGCCATGACGTCAGAAGGAATGGAGTTATGTTTTTGATATTTCATTACATTTGATGATAAGGCTAGTGCTCCATTAATAATGGAACAACATTAGTAAAATTACACTTACACAATCAGGAGAATGTTGGAATCTAAAGTTATAGGTTACATAGGGCCATCCATTTCTCTATTACCTCTTTTTTATGAAGTACGATTTCATCATTTCTTGTGGGTTTTGTTTATAACTAAATGTATGCAGTTTCAATATCGATATTTATGTTGGAATAGTTTGGTTCATTGTGAACAAAACACCACGAAAATAAATTGTCCTTACCCACAGCTAATTCTCAGCGAGTGACCTGAGTTACAATAAACTAGTGCTAAGTATAATAGAGTTATGCCCCCTGTTCTTTGTACGCGTGTAACCTCTCCGTAGCCTTTTGATATCATAGAGAAAAATCAGTGTTCGTCATTTACCGCATGCTATTTTTGGCATTGAATGTATGACATTATACATATATGCGTATAACTCCATTTGATATATAGTTATGTCGTTCAGATATTAGGCAGTATTTTATTCGCTCACAGTTTCCGTAAAGCTTCTAAATAAAAAAATCGTTGCACAGTACTTTTTTCGGTGTACGATAAAGAGCGGAGAAATTGTCTGTTTTTCAACGCAGAATAATTTCTTGGACAACACTTGGAATTGTCTTTTTTTTAAAAACGGTTTACTTTTTGCAGTTAAATTTACACCTTCAAATAGGAAATTTAATATTCTCCAACTCTACGTAATTTTATAGCCAGAGGGAGATCCAGTGCCGTGTAAATGCAATTCTCGCACAACCTTCACTTTTCTGATCTTTGGAAAATGTGCGTCAGAAAAAAACCTCGACATCCAGAGGGTTAAAATACTCCAGCCTAAAAGCAGGACACAACACACATGATTAGGAGTCTCTGTCACAGTGACCTAACAATATAATCCATTTGAATTGAGTTAAACTTAATAAATGTCTTTACTTTATTATTTTGTTTTTTTCAGCTATGGAATTGGATAATTGTGGCAGATATCAACTCAAATCTACAAATACAGAGAATCCACTTAACCTGCAGTCTTACCTTTTCTCCCAGGGCACTAAAGTGTGTCTTGGTCTCAATGAACTCTCATTGACCAAAGTACCAGAGGAAGTATTTGATCTGGAAAATATCTCCTTTTTATTATTAACCAACAACAACATAACAGATATTCCTGATAATGTAAGTCAACTGGAAATCCTAGAAGGATTAAATCTGTCTTGCAACGGTTTGAAGACCATTAATCGACTTGTGTATCATCTCCCAAAACTGCAACTGCTAGATGTATCTAACAATGAATTGGAAGCAATATCTTCAGAAATATGTGGGCTTGTTATGTTGTCTCAACTTTTCGCAAATGGCAACAGACTGTCCTCAGTTCCATCAACACTCGGTCATATTAAAGACTTGACTGTCCTTGGGCTGAACGAGAACAGGCTGAAGAATTTGCCAAACAGCCTTGGTAGTCTTAGCAAGCTAAAAATTCTAGGATTAGAGAGAAATGAATTTGAATTCTTGAATCCAGAGATTTGTCGGATAGAAGGTCTTCAACGCCTTGGCTTGTCAGGAAATCACATGACAAATCTGCCACATGAAATTCAGAATCTGACCAAGCTTGAACAGCTCTTGCTCGATGACAATGAGTTTGAATTTATCCCTGTACAGCTGTTTTGGATTGAAGAACTCAGGGAATTGGCCATGTCTGGAAACAGGCTGTCAGCTGTACAGTCTGAGATTGGTAATTTGAAGAAACTGAAGATCTTGGGTCTGAATAATAATTTGTTAAAGGATCTACCTGCTGAGCTGTGTTTGCTGAAAGAATTGGAAATACTTGGGTTAGAGAACAATCATCTTCAGCATATACCAGAGAACATAGCAGAACTGTTTCATTTGAAGGAATTGTACATTGGTTCAAACAATATCTCTGAGATACCAGAAGGTCTAAGTTGGTGTTCAAACCTTGAGGTTCTGAGTCTGTTTGGCAACTCTTTGACTGGAGTTCCTATTGAGTTTGGTAATCTGAAGAAACTTCACACTCTTGTGTTTTCTGACAACAAACTTGAAGAACTTCCAAAAGCCATTTCAGTGCTTGAGAATCTGAATATCCTTGCATTGGATGGGAACAGAATGTCTGCAGTCCCGACTGAATTTGGACATTTATCAAAATTAAGGCATCTGAGCTTAAGAAAAAACCAGTTTGAGAAATTCCCCTTATCAGTTTGCAAAGTTTCTACGCTTGAGATCTTTGATGTTGCGCACAATAGTTTTGCTGACATTCCTCCAGAAATTGCAGAACTTCACAGTCTTACAGTGCTGAACCTCTCATGCAACCATGTCGGTAACTTCCCACCAGAATTGTGTGCACTTGTTCACTTAAAGTCTTTAGACATGTCTGGGAATATGTTAGAGGAACTACCTGAAGAAGTATCCCTGTTGACATCACTTACCAACCTTGACCTGTCAGAGAACAAATTTTTTGAGTTTCCAAAGTCAGTTTGTGCCATTCCAAACCTTGTGAAACTACGCTTTGACCAGAGCAGTGGATCTCGAGTGCCATCACTTCCTGATGAGATGGAATTCTCAAGTGTTTTTGAGTTGATCGTCTCAAATAATACCTTAAGAACATTACCAAATACAATTTCAGGTATGAGAAATCTTGTGTCACTTGTTGCAGACCATAATGAAATAAACAGCCTTCCTGAGACAGTCTGTGAGATTAGGAAGCTCCATGTTCTGCACCTGAATGACAACAAGCTGACATCCCTCCCAGAGAACTTTGATCAACTGATTAACCTGACGGATCTCCGTCTCCATAACAACCCTTTGAAGACACCACCCATAGATGTGTGTGTTAGTGGTGTTCCTCAGCCCATTGGAAGGTTCATTCGAAGAGCATTGGAAAGAGAAGGTGAATTAATTGGGTATTTTTAATAGCAGATGTATAAAAAAAACATGTTTCCTGAACCAATACAATATTTGACACAGATATAGTAATTGCTCCTGTCTGTCTCGCTACACTTCTACACTGTGATATAACTGGAATAATGTTAAAAGCGGCGTTAAACCAAACTCACTCACCCACTCACTCTACACTTCTGTGATCTGTACATATCCTGAGAAACCAACATGTTGCTATCTTGTAGAATTATCTTATTTAGTAATAACTCAGGTTATAAAAAGTCCTCAGCACCCTAGTTCTGGTTCTCCTAGGTAACAAACTTGGATGAGGTAGTAAGACTTGATGACTGCTCATGTTTTCAGTCACTTGATTATTTACAAGCCATTGTGATATAGATGTAGTATTGCTGATTGTGGCTTTAAACATTCACTCAACTCATGTGAATGTTGTAACCATGTGAACATGTTCATCATCTCCTCTGGAGAAAGTGGAATTCTGATACTATTTTTAGTCTATGATGTCTAGTACTATGTTAGGACACATATTTATATATTCCACATCTCTTGATAATTTGTCCCTGTACCATCTTTCTGTGCCTTAGCTGAAGTTTCTAACCAAAACAGGAGAGTTGATATTCAATTGGCGAACAGATTTTAAGGAATGAACATCATGGACTTCTTCTGTTTCAGTTGAACCTTTTCCACTTTCTTTCCCAAGTCTGGTTTCAGCTGAGATAACCTGGTCCGTAATCTTCTTTGAAAGAACAGTTTAGCTGGTTATACACTCGCCACAGAGTGTGGAGTCGTCTGGTAAACCACTAGAAAGTTTGCCAATTTCTTATTGATAGTCATTTCTTCCCTTCTTGAATTTGAGGAAGTGTTTCTTTAGTGCAGTTTTCACATTTTGGACAGATCACTCTGCAGCTCCATTTGATGCTGGGTGATATGGTGGTGTAAGCGTGTTCTGTACCCGAACTCTTTGAAAGCTTCTCCATTGTCAGAGACGACTTCATCTGGAAGTCCATAGGAAGCAAATAAGTTCCACATAACTTCAATCATTTAGGTAGCTGTTGTGGTTGACATAGGAACGACTTCAATCCATTTTGATATGCTGTCTGGAACTATCAGGTAGTTGTTTCCTTGATTTTCTGCAATGTCCATGTGCATTCTTTCCCAAATTTGATTTGGACATTTCCATGAATGTAGCAGTATAATCACACTGTGGTATAATCACACGTAGCTAGAGTAGGTATTCCAGTCTTCGGCCCCAGTAGTGTGGTGAGAAGAATGTGATCTGTATGAAGTTACGTCCATATATGTACTTGGGAATCTTCTTGATGCCAAATATGATTGACAGGACTTCTTTTTCCAGCTGTGCATAGTTCAAGTGTTGCTGGCAGTCAATGGCAGTCTTTCGATATCATCTTCCATGGTGTGTGAAAGGACACATCCAACGCCATAAGATGATGCATCGCAGGCTAATGTGATGGGCTTCTTGTTGTCATAATGAACAAGTAGTATATCACTTTACAGGAAAGACTTGCTTTTCTCAAATGCCATCTCTTCTTTTCCAGACCATCTCTATGAAGTGTTGGACTTTAACAAAGTATACAGTGGTGCTAGACTGGGTGACAAGTTTTGCATAAATTTTCCATAATAGTTTACCATTCCAAGGAAGACTCGTAGTTCGGAGACCTTCTTTGGACTTGGCACACTTACAATTCCATGAATCTTAAATTTTAGAGGATGCATACCATCTTTGTCAACTCTGTGTCCAAGATACTCAACACTCATTGTCATGAACCTCCACTTTTCAAGCTTCACTTTGACCCCCATAGGCTTCAAGTCTTCTTAGTACCTCATGTAATACTGTTTGATTCCTGAGAATGTGTGAAGCCCATTTCTGGTGTCCCCGGCCTGGATACTGCTGGAATATTGCTAAAAGAGGCGTAAAACCATACTCACTCATTCATGTAGTAGTATAGGTAATGGGGGTTCTGGACCACTTCCACTGGAGCCAAATTTATATACTATACTGCTACTACAGGTGGCATTTTTTATGCCAAAATGATTATGCGATTCAATGATAGTCATAAGTTGTATTAAACGAAACATCAATATTAAATAATAATGAATAAAATTTACTATAGCCCACGAGGATATTGGAAAGGTGTAGGAGCAATAAAAAAATTAGCCACCGCGGCTAAGGTATCTAAAGATGTGGCCAAGGATTGGTTAAAGAAACAAGCGATGTGGCAAATATACTTACCAGCACCGCGTTATATACCGAGGAAGAAGTTTGATATTTTTACAACGAATGAAGTTCATCAGGCTGACCTCTTGTTTCTTCCCCACGATAAGGTAAAACGCAAAACGTATAAATACGCTTTAACAGTAGTGGATGTGGCTAGTCGATACAAAGAGGCTGAGCCATTAAGCTCAAAAGATTCAACAGAAGTAGCTAATGCACTGAGTCGCATATATAAACGTGGACCACTAAAATGGCCTAAGCTATTTCAAGTAGATCCCGGTAGCGAGTTTATGGGATCGATAACAAAACTGTTAACAAAGCACAATGTCGAAATCAGGCGTGGTGAAAGAGAGGCCCACCACAGTCAAGCTATCGTCGAAAGATTTAACCGGACATTAGCGGAACGTTTGTTTGGCTATCAGTATGGGATCGAAATGAAATCCGAGCTATTGAGATCAACCGAATGGGTGACACGATTATCAGCCGTTGTATCAGCGCTGAATAATGAAGTAACAAGATTAATAGGGAAGAAACCAGAAGAAAATGAAATCCGTGACTTCCGAATCTTCAGCACCGAGGAGAGGCAAAGAACGAAAACTTCCAGGTAGAGTAAGGGTAAGGTATTTATACCAGCCCGGTGAACTCGAAGGAGGCCTACGTCGCGCAACCGATCCCATATGGTCCCTTAAGACATATAACATTAGTCGATTGGTTATGAAAGAAGGAAAGCCTATTCTTTATTATCTTCAAGATGGACCGGATAGGGCATTTGTACGAGAAGAGTTGTTCATAGTTCCCGACGGTACGGTATTACCACCATAACCATAAGCATAGGTAGTTACACCATCATTATCAATCCATCTCTTTGTATCTAAGGTGGATAATGATGTCTTGTTCATTCTTAATCCATATATCCTATGATTGTAACTTCTTAAAGAGTTCATCTCGTGTTTGAACGTTCTACCGTTAAATAATGATTCTTTATACTGTTCTTGTTTGATATGCTTTTTTACAACATACTTTTTAACACCCTTGGCTTTTCTTATCTCCCCATTATCGGACTTCTTTATAGAATACATCTTAGGTCTTAATCCGACATACTCCGCTATAGGGGTCCCAGCACATTCATCCTTCATCTTACCTAACACCTTTTTATTTACTACGCTGTGCAGTGGATTATTTTTTGGGTAATCGCTCGTGTCGTACATATCTATTTTTTCTGCCATATCTTTATACATATCCTCGGTTTGTATTTCCATCAACAAAGAATCTGTGTCGGTATATAACACCTCGCATCTATCGCCGTATTGCTTCTTAAGTTCGTTGTAATAAAAGTCATACATTAAGTGTTTTGACAAGTCGAGAATACTCATACCGACGTACACCGGTCTGTTGAATTTTATATTACTCTTCTGCATATGCAACGCGGCTAAGTCGTTATCGAATATCTTGCTTCTGTTAAAAGCCGGACTGGCTATAAGTTTCCTGAGTCTTTCTTCCTCATTAGATCTGACTAATTTAACATCAACACGCTTCCTTAGATTCTCCATAGTTTTACCAAATACCGAGTTATTCATGAGCTTATATAGATTCTTTTCGAAATCTCTGGTAGCTATCTTTCTTAAATCTGTGTTCAACCTTATATAGGGCTCCATCCAAGGGCTTTGATCAAACTTTAAAACTCTTAACTCTTATTTTCTTAAGTTTCATACCTAACGATAGATATAACTGGAGATTTCTGTAGTGAACTATATATTTTGTCTTATCCATCAAATTTGGTACGAGTTTTGCTACGTTAGCTAACCTACTATTACCCATCAAGGAGCGTTGATATTCCGACATCCAATCTTTATTAACCATTAATCTTTCGGGAGCTAGCGGATAACTGTTATGATCTTTATGTAACGAACTTGGATATTCCAAGTCAACTTCTAGTATGTACCCTTTATTCACTTCAATATCATTCACATTGATATTATGGATATCATTCACTTCGATATCATTGACCCATTCAAAACCACCCGTGGGTAAAGGTTGACTCATAGCCCATCCGTACAAATTGTTAGCGTCAAGATATAATATGTGCGTATCGGGTTTACTCGGATCGTATCCTTCCACTAATTTATTATTAGCCTTAGAATACCTTTTAGCTGCCATCGATATACCACCTCTTAATCCTTTCTTAATAAACAAGTGCATATCGTAATCTGTGAGTAGTTTTAGTTCTACGCCGGTCTTCTTCAACAATGCATCCCACGATAGTCTGGGACTGACTTAGTACCATGCCAGGTCCAAGCCGTATTGTTTTAAACATGTCTTTCTAAATATCTCGAATATATCGGCGAGTAACAGTACATCGGTTTTTAAGTACAGATCGTGATAATCGCCTAAATTCTTACAACCTAATTTATCCCAGACCGTCAGAGCGTGTTCATAATCGGCATCTGTTATTCTAGATTCTGTTAAGTTACTATAGAATGATTCGAGGGGTGGTAATTCAGTTTCTTCGAATCTAGACCAATCATCCATATATTCATAAGGATATACACCTTTTCTCAGCAACAAATGACGAGTTATCTTATCGGTATATTGATTTGTTATCGCAAAGTCATCGGGATTGTTCGCATTAGCTAAATTGTCCAGGGAAGATAACAGAAACTGTACGGAGTCTATGAATCTAAGCCCATTACTTTGCTTTATTCTAGATTTCCCATCCTTGTCCCTATAATGTAAAGGTTAGTCAACGAGAACGATATGTA